AAGGGGCTTATGACCTTGGGAAGGGCCTCTCTCCTCTTCCCCGACATTTACTGAGAATCTCAGACTGCTACTTTTGCTTACAGTGAAAATATCCACTTTCTGCATCCCTGTGGTCTAGACTTTAACCTTATCAACTGTAATCCTGTCAGGGGCCCGCAGGAACCACCCTGTGCTCCCATTTAGAGCACGGCCACACTTGGATGACAGCTTCAAACCTCACCAAAGTCCCACATACAGCAGCTATTGGAAGACAACCATGTGGATTCTCCCAGACGCCCAGGCCTGTCCTCTTAGTCGTGTCTTGTTTCTGAACATCACCGTTTCCTCTTAATCCTACCCTTGAGTCTATATTAAAATCTTCATTAAACCTGGACTCTGCTTCATAATGGCTAGTCCTGAAATTCCTTTCTGAGTCAAAGCCACAAACCCCACTTTGCGGCTGGACAGTGTATACCACAAGGGAGGCAAGCTTGGGCTGGGGTTGAAGCTGGGAAGGAGAAAGCTGTAGACCGCGGGCTATGTAACAGCCAGGAAGGTGGGGCTCGCCAGCAGAGTCTAGCCGTGGCCACTTTATCTCTGCACCCCTTCCACATGGGAATGAGCAGGGCACAGGGGCCATGGCTGAAATCTCTGCACAGCGTGGGTCTCTTCTGAGACACCCAAGGAGATGTGGCCACTCCCCTGTTCCACTTCCTCAGCTGCTATGGTGTGCCAAGCACCTTCCTTTGTGAGATCTGGTGGGAGGCAGGAGAGGAGGCAGATTTCTATTCCTCAGACCTAGACGGCAAAAACAAACGTTGAAGGACAGAGCAGTGTCAGGACAGACAGAGGGGCTCCACAGCCTGGTTTTCCTGAAGCCGAGGTGTGGCCCAGCCCCTCTTTTTCTCTGCTCCTGGAAGTCACCTCTGCCTCTGAGATGACTCTGTGGTTTGTTTAAACAGAAAGCCACACGAGGCCACGTCACCAGCACAGCGGCAGAGCTTGCTAGCTGCAGGGACCATGGGTGCCGTGGGCCCCCGGGCAGGACGCGCTCCACACGCTCCACACGCTGATGGAGCTTCTCTCACAGTGGCCCCTGCTGTCCCCTGAGGATGCCATCTTGACAGCATCTCCGACGTGGGTTAAGACTGTCAGTCCCACACTCCATGTTCTGCTCACAGATAGAGGGATCTTGGTTCCTCCTCTAGAGCAGGATCGGTGCCTGGAGTTCTCGGCTCTCCCGTGACTGTGCTCAGCCCCGCACAGCCTCCCCCCCATGAGTTTCTGACCAGCGTTCTCCTTGGCTGGGACCTCCCTCGGTCATGTGAAAGTTCACTCCTCACCCTGTCCAGTGTGCTGGGTCACACCTGTGCCTATACCTGCCCCGGCTCCAACACAGCGCTAGGGGACAGGAGGCTGGGGTCCCAGCGACCGCGCCCTGCCCCCATCTCCCACGACTCTGCTGTGTTGATGCAGTGTTTGCAGGCTTCTCCCATCCCATTTGTACAGTCCTTGCCGGGCTCCCTCTGGACCTACATGTGGCCTTCATTATTTCAACACCCCCAGGGCCTCACAGAGTGCATGTACCCAGGGAATACCCATAAATGAGTGACCCCATCCAGTAGCCAACTCTTCCACAAGGGAAGCCCCAGAACAGAAAATCCCGTCTTCCTCTTCCTCGGAGTCTAGAAGTCAGTGCTATCCAGTGCGGCCACTGCATGAATGTGCTTTAGTAATTCATGTGTTTCATTAGGGAATTAAATAGAATCTAATCCTTTAGCCACACTTGCCCCGTCTCAGATGCCCCATAGAGCTGCATGCCTCTGGTGATCAAGAACATATTCTTTGCTTGGGCACCTGCTGGTGTTTCTGACTCAACTTCTGCCATGGCATGCTTTCCAAGCTCACCTAATGCAAAAGTCTGTCTGTCACAGTAGAACCTCAGGGTGATGTGGCTGTAGCTGGAGCTGTAATGACCCACTGGCGATAAGAAAGTGAGGTTTCCACAGGCTTGCTTTGGCTCCTCTTCCTCATCTTAAAGTTTGCAACTGTTTGTAGTGTCTTGTGAAAGACCTCTGACTGGACAGACTCAGAGTATGAACCAAATAGTCCTGAGGAAGGAGCCAGGGTGCTGTGAGAGCCACAGTGATCCTAACAGGTGCAGGCAGAGGAGTACCAGTCACTACTGCCTTACTGCTTCTGGGTGTGAGCCTGAAAAGGAGCTTCACTGAGTACCTCGACTCCAAGATGAGAACGAAGACTCTCAGGCAGGGACAGTGCTCCAGGTAGGGCCCAGTGAGAGACAGTGTCAAGAGCAGTCAGGCGGCATCCATTGAGCATTAAAAAGGAAATGTATGCAGCAATCTGCTTGTCGTCTGCATACTCCAATAGTCCGGCGTGGAGTGTGCTGGCGCTGGCTGTACAGCCATCCTCTCTCGCTCTGGTGTTTAAAGGTGGTTTTTCCCCGGGAGGGTTCCTTTCCCACCTTTGCCACAGCAAATATCAAACCCTTTAGCTGGGCTGGTAGCGCCCCCTGGGAACTGTGTGCAAGAGATGCACAATGTGGCCCCATGAGAGGAAGCTGCTGGGACGGGATTTGCTCACAGGCTCCATCCTGTGAACCTGCCGACGGCAGCCCTCACGTATGCCAAGTGGAGATGGGAAGCTCACCTCCTCTCTCTTCACTTTCAGCACTCCTAGGTTACAGGGCAGGCCAGCCCTGAGTGGTGCCATGTACATGATACTGATAAATTGTATGGGTTGCTTGAACTCCCTGAAAAGCTGGCTTTGGCAGTCAAGGTGGCCCCCTGATTTCAGACCTAAGCGTGTTTGCCTCAAATTGTCCTCCAGAGTCCTTTGTCTGGGGACGGCCCCACTAACTCTGTGACAGGGAGCAGAGAACAGCAAAGCAGCCCAAAAAGAAATACACTGTGCCCCTGAGAACAGCTGGAAGGTGGAGCCATTTCCAACAGAAGTTACTGCTGTTTGCTTCATGATATAAAAATGCCTGCAGTGGGAAGTTGGGTGGTGATGGCGCACACCTCTAATTCTAGCGCTTGGGAGGCAGAGGCAGGAGGATCTGTGAGTTCTGGGCCAGCCTGGTCTACAGAGTGAGTTCCAGGAGAGCCAGGGATACACAGAGAAACCATGTTTCAATAAAACAAAACAAACAAACAAAAAATGCCTGCAATGGGAAAGAGAAGTAGAGAGCTGGAAGTTCAGCCATGGAGAGAAATCTCAGTCAGGAACTCTCGTTGACTGCCTCCACTTCTGAGCTGATTTCCCCTGCATGATTTGAGGACCCTACTTAAGGATTTCCCCTATTTATCTATCACCAACCATCCCACTATCCATTCCCTGGTACATAGCTTTTCCCTTGCTTACTATATATTTAACAGCCTCCTTCTCTGGATCCTATAGAGCCGATGAGGACAAGAAGGTCTCCCCTGAGATTGCTGTGTGTGCCCTAGAATCCTAGTGCCTCTACCACTCACCCAATCTTATTTCAACTTGCTCACTTATGTGAGGCTTGTGTCCATCTTGCCTAGAACCCCTCTCTCTGTGGCCTGGCAGGATCCCAGAAAAGGTGCGGGAAGGGATAGCCATTGGCCTCTGGGAAGCAGGGGTGGAGGTCTCCTGTCCTCCGAGACCCATTGCGCCAAGCGCAATGCTACCGAGCTCTCAGGTTCCAACACCCTTGTGGCTGTCAGATACGCCCCTTCCAGTCCTTCCGGGCATCAGAAGCTCCAGCACCAGCTGTCAGGGCTCTAGCTCCTTCCCTTCCCTGCCGGGTGAGGGGGTTGAACAAGTCCTGACACCTCTAACCTTGGGTTCGTTATCTCCGATGCCTCCGAATGCAGAGCTGGTGTGAGGATTAAATTTTTAAGGCCGACCCAAGATAATCACCACGACTGAAACACTCATTTCCCATGGCTGCCCCATTGGTGCCACTGCTCTGCGCCGGCCAAAACTGAGAAACAAAGAGCATGTCATTGCCTCCACTGACTTTGTGAACTGTGAAGGAAAAAGCATGCCATTGCCTCCACTGACTTTGTGAACTGTGAAGGAAAAAGCCTGCCATTGCTTCCGCTTTGGCCCTTCCCTCGTGGCCTCCTGTTTCATCCCCTTTGCACTTTCATGAGTCTCCTCCACACAGCTGAGGTCCATGGGACCTCCCTGTCTGAAAAGGGCCCCCTCCAGAACCTCTTCTTAGGTTTTCATATTGCTGAACATTAGTGCTGAGCAATCCTGAGGAACTAGGTTGTGGGCTGCAACAGCTGGGCTCCGCTCTGCCGCTCTGTGCACACCCTGCCCCCAGCCCAGCTCTCCTGCACTGGGACCCTGGGCACTCATCATCATGATTCTCTCTTTGGAATCCACAGAGAGCAGTGAGGATGTCGGCGGGCATCAGAAGAAGGAAGGAGGGTGTCATGAGAGAAGATGGTAAGCCAGCGAGCGCACTCCATGCCACAGAGTGTGCTGCACGGTGCTGCGGCGACCCTGACCACCTTCTTTCAGGCTACTTGGGGAAATCGGAGTAGAGAAAAGCATCGAGTAGGGTAAGACGGCTCACTTGCGCCAACAGGGCAATTCCCATGGGTGCTGAGCAGAGTCAGGGATCCCGTGAGGGCTACCTGCAGCCTCCAAGACAGCTGGGACGTGTGCAAGTTCTGGGGTCCTCTGCCTCAGTGGGGCCTGCGTGGCTCTGGGGAGGCCTCGTGGTACTGAAGGTACTGGGTTCTATAGACTTTCCATATGTGTGTAATAAGCAAAGCACAACTAAGAGATCAAAGTAAACCCACGGCAGCTTCAGTTCGGGTTGTGTTGAGGACAGGACCATGAATTACGTGTGTTCCTTTCACTTTTTTTGTGCTGACACAGGTATACTTGGATTTATTCTATTTTAAGTGGCATTTCATTATTATACTGAAATACTTGAAGACATGTATGTATATATACATATATAAACTACCACAGCGTAACTGCTTCTATTGAAAGGCACAGACAAAGTTTGATGGCAACGGGAAAAATAATTATTTTCAGGAAAAGGAAGAAACTCCTGGAAGCTGCCCATGTTCACAGTGCAGGGCACGGATCCACCATGGTCAGCAGGGCCTCTGCTTCTCAGGGTGCCTGATGGAGCTGAGCCCTTTCCATCCCAAGGCTGGAACAACCTCTTCCAGCTGTAGAGGGAGGCTGGGGAGGTGTGCTCCTGAGAGGCTGTTTATTGCAAGGGGGACACAGGCCTTCCAGGGGGCAGAGACCTAAAAGAGAAGGTCGCAGGAAGGGAGGAAACTTCCATTAACTCGCCCATTGTTTTGTGGGATTTCCCGCATACTTATCCAGAAATGTCCTAAGAACTGGCTAAACACCTGGCGCAGCCCAAGCCGCAAAGGAGAGCTGGCAACTTAGATGATGTCAGCAGACCTGGGCCTACTCCCTCCAGGTGCAAGGGCACCCCACCCCTCCATCATTCCCTGAGACTAAAAGAATACACTGTGGTCCCCTACGTGGCTGAAGCTTTTGGACTGCCATGTCGTCTCATAAACCTTTTGTCTGAACCAGGCCCTTCCCTAAACCTAACGGTTTGTAGCCACAATGTCCTTATCCGAAAAAAGAAGTCTGGCCTTGGAGCCCAAGGCCACCTCCTAGGGCTGAGGAGGCCTGGAGTCCTACACAGCTTCCCCACAAGGTGGCTCTGCTCCCTAATCTCTCACTGTGCCCCCCAGTGACCAGATCCTGTGTCTGTGCTACAGATGCTCAGAGCAACACTCGGGGGGAGCAGTGACCTGAGGTCCCCAAAGTGAGACATTCACATCAAGCCTGAAGTCAGAGGACAGGAGCCATCTTGTCCTCTTACCAGACCAAACCCATCATCATTTACGTTTTAATTATGTAGCTTTAGAACTAGTTTCGGAAATACGTTGCATATTTAAAGCTGGAGGTTTTAACCTTAAGCCAGATATGTCTACTGTTGCTGAAAATATCTATCGAAGTACAAGCAGCCCACACAAGGCAGACCGTAGTGAATTTTGTGAGTACAGTTGCCAAGTTCTGGCATCTCAGCTCCACAGCGGAAGCCCTGGGAAACATGAAATCAGCCTCTTGCCCCGCTCATGCTAATGTGCTCAGAATGCTCAGTCCTCACTCACTCTGCACTTGTAACCTTTCAAGTTAGACATTCTCCCCCCACCCCCCCAGGAGACTGCCATCGCGACTGAGCCACAGTAACTACAACGCCCAGGGTATGGACAGCAGGGGTATAAATTTATAGGGAGTGATAGTCCGTATCTAGTCATACTGTGAAATAACTAGTATCAGTTAAAACAGCAGAAAGGTACATTTTTCAATAAAGCATGCTTCATGCCAGGGAGCTACATCTGAATTCTACCCAATATTTCAGGCAGAAATGATGCCCTCTCCTACAGAGCATGGATCTGGGAGGAAGAAACTTGGCCACACTGTTCTCTTCGGATCAACAGTAAACACCACGGGAAAGGTGAATGACAGACCAAATGTGCCTGACCAGATTTGCCAACCATTGACATCTATCAGAGATGTTCGGAAAGAGAAGAAACTTAAGATTCCAGGGTAAGATGCTCATGGGGCTGATGAGGACGTGATCCCTCTGTTGGGCACTGGGAGTGAGGAGGAGGAACAGTAGGCATTTCACTGAGGCAGGGCCTAGATAGTCTGCAAGGACGGCTCTCTGGTGGAGTGGCCATCAAGGGGGCTTTTAAAGAGGAGCGATGTCCCCAGCCCTGGACCACAGCATCTGGGCCGGTTAACAGGCTGTGGGAGTAGGTTCTGCTGAAGGGGGAGGGCGGGAAGGAGCACTTAGTGGGCGCAGATGCTGTCTGTTCTCAGCCAGGTCTTCCTCCACCTGCTGTCAGATCAGTGGTGACCACACATGGGTGTGTGGCAGCTCCCTCAACTAGCCTCTGTGGCATGGGACACCTGGGCCAGTTCATCTCTAAAAGTTAGCGGTAACATTTCATCTAGGCCTGGCCAGTTAAATCCAAGCTTAGTCACTGCGAGAACGTCCTGTAAGTGGTTTGGAAAAGGCCTGAGATCTGAGCCGCTTTGGAGCCAGAGGACCCCACTAGCTCCTCAGGGAGTCAGTCATCTGACCTCCAGGAGGAAGCTGATAGGTAAAGATGCTGGGGAACTGGGACCTGAAGTGGGCTGCCCTGGCTTCTGCAAAGGGAAAATAGCATAGCTTATTTGGTCAGGGTTGATCCAGACTTGACCGTTTTCTTGTCTCAGGCCTCATACATCTACCTATCTCCATAGCCCCCTGGGGCTGACAAAATTTGGGGAATGGAATGAAGGAGGCCCTTGCCTCTGATCAGAGGACTCTTGTGAACCAGTGTTTCACATCTTGGGCCTGTCCTCCCTGCCCAGCTATAACAGTGGGTCCAACCAACCACGGCTCAACTCACACACAACTCCCCCGGCAAGGTCGATGTGGTGATAACAGATCCTCTGCATAAGCTACAAGGCACCAGACCCACGGGAACCTGACTTATCTTCCATGTAACACCTTCCGCCCACATTTCCTTGCAAGATAACAGCCACTTCTCACATCTGGCTCACACTCTGGCCCATGATGCCTCCAGCTCAGGCACACCACAAACGCAGCAGCCACTCTTGCTCAGGCTTCGTCTGAGGTTTCCTGCTACACCTCACAACGTGGCACTAGCAAGTAGGCCCTAAGAACATTCCAGTATCACAGAGCAGGAACTGAGGACAGAAGGTGGAGCAGCTTCCCCATGTCACGTGGCTCACGTGGGACCTGAGTACAGGCTAGCCAGCAACCACGCCCAGGCTTTGGTCACGGTATTGCCTCCTCTCAGGAAGAGCCGTGTCCTGCCGTCAGCCCCACATACGCCTTAAGTTCCCAGCACACTGAGAGACCCTTCTTCCTAAGTCTTGCACTGACTCGTCTGGACCCTGGAGGTCAAGAACAGGAGAACCAGGAACCTGAAAACTATAATTTCTTATGGCCTTCAGCCACCGGTGTGTCAACAGCCACCCGTTTTAAATCTGTTTTCTAAGACTGCGGATTAAGAAGCAAAGACACTAAAACATTCGAACGTAAGACACACCAGAAACTGAGGCCCCAGGCTAGGAAAGCTGCGTCTGTGCCAGCAGGGCCTGCAGCCTCCCAGGGGCACCTGGGAAACACCAGAGTGGACACTGCCCCTCCCCTCTCTGCAGGTCTTGCAGGCGCTCGCCAATGACTGCTGTTTGCATATCAGTACTGAGACTGTGAGCAAAGGCTGTAAGCGGCAGCTCCCAGCCCGGCCTCTGTCCCCATACTCAGCCGCTAGGTCAGACTTAGTCAACAAAAACCCAAAAGACTTTCCCTGAGACATCTGAAGCCAAGCAGCCGCTTTGCCGCTTCTTTGGGCTTCAGTGCTTGTCTCCAGATATGGTCAGTTAGGGAGAGGTTGATTACCTATGCAACTGCCGGGCAGGCGGTTGGTTTGGAATGCTCTGAGTTCTGAGCCAGTTGGCAATTCAGCAGACCACTGGCCCTCAGGGTGTGGAGGGCAGTGGCATGTGGGCCCCTGGGGTTCAGCAGGGCTTCAACCAGAGGAAAGGCCATGTCTGTCAGCTCAGAGGGTGAAAAGCCCAGAGTTGACTCAGGATTCGGGCCAAGGCCCTTTTCAAGGAAACCAATCATTTCGCTTTCGCCACCTTGAGGCAGGAGGATTTGGGAAAATGATGATGAGTCCTAGTTTGCTATCCAGGGCATGACCCAGAGATCTCCGAGGGTCAGGAATCTCTGAACAGGTTTCTCCGCCCTGCAGTCAGTACTGCCCTGTGCCGTGCTGGGGGAATCCAGTTATCTAAATGCAGTGTGCTCAATCATAAGGTAGAAGTCATGGTCCCTCACCGCCACACCCTACATCACATGACACCACTGACTTTTCCAGGAGCTGAAGAGTCTCAGACCTCTGAGGCTGCCAGTAAGGCTCTACCCCCTGGAGCTGTGACCAAGTGCCCTCCTGAAGTCACCGTGACACCAGGTCCTGTTAATTCCTCCAGACACATAACAAGATTTTTTAGGTAGCACTTATGAAGTACCAGACATTTTTCTTCAGGGTTTTTTTTTTTTTTCCTGTTTATTTTCAAAATGATGAAATACTAGCAAGCAGGTCCTGGTGGCAGATCTATGTTGAAGAACAGGGAACTGAGACACCAAGGAGCTGAGCACTATCCCCAGCTCGGCCTGAAGGCCACCAGGAGCAGGCAGCCTCACCCGCCAGTGTCTTGGTGTTTCGTGCCTCATCTCAGTGGAGGGTACTGGATAAGTGTCTCTAGATGAGTGTCTCGCCCCTCATCACAGAAGCTTCTTTCTGCAGCAGATGGAGGCTATCAGAGAGACGCACAGCAGGTCAAGAGATAAGCAATGGTGAAGAGCTCGGCCTCAAGTGGGACATGGGTAACACGCTCACACCCAAGGCTAGGGACTAGAGTGGAAGAGGAGGACAGACCGTGAGAGCTGTCTGAGGTGGTGCCTTCCAGACATAACAGGGAAGCTGTCCACGAATTCCCAACACACCAGTCACACACCACACGGGTTGGGGAAAGTTCCCGAGGCCCAGCCCTAGATGAAGAGCCACAGATAGTCAACGGCTGCTGAGGAAGGAAGACAGACCTTGGGCGGTTACTCAAGCCTGAGGACATACGGGCGACACTAACTGAGCTCAGTAGATTTTGTATATATGTGTGTGTGTCATGAATTTGAGCAGGGAGGTCCTGGAGGGGCTATACAGTGGGAGCTGGAGTGGAGAGAGGAAGGATAGAATGTAAATGCATTACACTCAGAAAGTCTCAAAAATTAAAATGAAAAATAAAGGTATTTCTATATATTCAATCTTTGTAGGTATTTTAAATGCACAGCGTGGTGGTTTGAATGCAAATGGCCCCCATAGGCTCAGATATTGAATGCTTAGTCTCTAGTTGGTGGAACTGTTTTGGGAAGGATCAGGAGGTGTGGCCTTGTTAGAGGAGATGTCACAGGGGGTGGGGGTTGAGGTTTCAAAAGCCCACACCAGGCCCAGCCTTTCTGTCTCTGCCTCCTGCTTGTGGATCAGATGTAAGCTCTCAGCTCCTGCCTCAGCATGTCTGCGTGCCCATTCCCATTTTTCCCACCGTGATAACCAGGGACTTACCCTCTGAAACCATGAGCAAGCCCCCATTTAAATGCTTTCTTCTACAAATCGTCATGGTGTCTCTTCACAGCAATAGCACAGTGACTAAGACACACACCAAATCCAGGGGCTGCTATCCTAAGCTCTGCTCTGCCCCAGAGGCTCCCCAGCAGCTAGAGATAAAGAGATCCTAATGCACTTCTTCTACCAGGAAGATGAGCTGCCATCTCCACAAAAGCATTTCCTGGCAACTTGCTGCCGAACATGGAAAAGATAACAATGAATTCAAAGTTTGCATGTGGGGGCTGATCCCCGATAAAGAAAAGAAGCTGTCTTTCCACTCAGAAGCATCTAAATGAGCAACTGGCATAAGGCCGAGTCTCAAACATCCCACTTACAGCCCACTGCAGTCTCTAGGAATTCAGTTGCTGACTCCAGCAGTAACTAGTTGGTTTGACGCACCATGGAAACAAATCACAAAAACATCACACCATATTTCATAAAACCCACACTTGCAAAATGGCTTTAGGCCAGAAGAGGGCATCAGATCTCTGGGAACTGGAGTTAGAGATGGTTGTGAGCCAGCATGTGAATCCTGGGGATCAAACCCCTGTCCTTGGACGAGTAGCCAGTGCTTTGAACCACTGTGCGTCATCTCTCCAGCCCCAGGATGTAAGTTTTACTGACAGAGTTGCCCTGGAAGGAAACTCTGTACCTGGTACCAGTCCACCTTTCTCCACACCCACCTGCCAGCCCCAGAAATGCCTTCATTTTCCGGGTAGGCTGCCTTCTCTGTCTAGCTCACTTGAATAAGCAAAATGTTTTCGAGGTTCATCCATGTTGAGAGTGTGCCCCAACACACCTTTTCTGCGGCAGTGATTCCATATGTGAGCTGGTGTTTCCCACCCAGCCCTCAGTCAGCGGCATCATTTCCTTTAACGTATTGGCTACGTGGCTGCAACCAATGTTCATAGGGAGGCTTTCACGGGAGCATGGTGAAGGTTCCTGGCTGCACACCTAGAGGTCAGATTCCTGTCTACCTGGTAACTGTTTAGCCCTCTGTCTTTGCACCGGGGACGAAGGCTCAGACCTCTCCGCAGGTCCCCGCCAATGTTACCGTTTCTTTCCTGTAACCGTTCTAATGGGTGTGGGTTCTCTCCGTATCTTTGGTTGTACTTCCCACATGACTAGTTATTGTAAATGATGTACCTTCAGATTGACAATTAGCACAACTTCTCTGTAGAATATCTGCATTTTTTAGTGTAGAATGTAGCTTTGTGACGTTTTTACCATTGTTAGTATTCCTTATAGTTTGAGAGATTGACTCTTATAAGCCCCCACTTCCTTCCGTTTTGTGGGTTGTAGTTCTTGATGCATAAATGTTTTCCGTGCTATCCCATGACCACGATGGACTGTATGACCTCTGCAAGCCAAAGGAACCCCCTACCCACAGTGTGTGTGTGTCTGCGTGTGTGCATGCGTGTGTGAGTGTGTGTGGTTTTGTCACAGCAAGGAGAAGAAGAAATGTACACAGTCATTTAGACACTGTTTGTTGAAAAGACTCCCTTTTTCCATCCAGTGGCTTTGTCACCCCCAGTGAAAATCAACTGACCACCCATGTGAGGGCTTCCCAACCCCCAGCTCTAGGCTGTTCATCTGAGCATCGTGTCTTTACAGTGAGTTCTCTTTGCTTCTCCATGGTGCTTGGAACCGGAGAGATTGCTCTTCCCCAGCCTTCACCTGGGACAGTGTGAGCCTTCCACCCTTGTCCTTCCTCAAGTTCTTTAGATTTAAGTCATGAGTTTCCATCTGAAATTTTAAACCAACGTTTCAATATTTAAAATTAGACAGCTCAGATTTTTGTAGGAATTTGTTCAAGCTATTAATGGGACATGGTATCTTTACAGAGGCATTCTAATTTATTATGTGACTTTCCTTTTTTGTGTGTTAAACTTACTGAGGTGTGACTGATATACAGAAACATACAAATTTAATGTGTGCATGCTGGTGAGTTTCTGCATAAAATCTAGCCCAGATATCCCCAACCCAGCATGGCACTAAACACCTCAACCAATATCCAGATTTGCCTGGTGTTTTGGTTTTGTTTTCAATCGCAACCCAGCACAGGAAACCCATCCTCTCTGCGCTGCCCGTTAAAGGCACTGAACTGCTCGCGGCTTAACTGAACTTGTTTCCACTGAAGAACGGCTCTACAGATTCTCTCCAGGCTCGGCAACACCATTCTATTCAGGGACGCTAAGCATTTTGGCTACTAGAAACTTCCTATAATTAGAACCCTGCCATATGTCCCTGTGGACAGACTTATTCGACTTAGCACAATGTATTCTGGGTTCAGCCATCCTGTCACGAATAGCTGGAGCTCCTCCTTTACCAAGCCAAATGCTATTCCGTGGTACAGATGCACCACACCTGCTTGACTCCATTCTTCTGTGATGGACGTTTCAGCTGCTGCTAAGCCAAGGTCTCGTGCCAGCTAGTCAAGTACAGTGCCTCGAAGCTGTGTCCTTAGCCCAACATTCACATTTAGACAGGCATCTTATTGAATCTGTAGATCACTGAGAAGTCTTCCCTTCCAGAGTGTACCTTCAGAAACATAAAAGCACTCACTAGCTCACCTCTTAATGGTTCAGTCTCCTTCTTACTGGCACCCAAATGAGGGTGAAGCCCAGGCTTCTGAGGCCATTGCATGGTTTCTGTTTGCTAGTTTTATCCCAGGGATTGTCAGCTGAAGAACAGGCCCTTCCCAGGCCTGCCAGCTGGAACTGTGTGGCGGGCAGAGCTCGGGGCTTTGCTAGGCACCTCCCTTTTGGAATGACTTCTCAGACAGCTGCTCTCTGGGTGCTACTGGCCAGCTGAATTCCTAGTGTCGCAGATGACACCTCCAAGGGCTGGATTTCCAGGAGCTTGCCCAGCTATGTTCAGGAATGCCCAGGCTGGGTGGTGAGGATGCACCATCGGTTCACTTAGCAGTGACACATTCTTGAGCACATCTACCAGGGCATTTCCAACGCGCCGGTGCCCTGTGCCAGGCCCAGAAAATGCGGGTGTAAAGGGGTCATGCTGAACACATGGCAAGTAAACAATAAATAAATGAAAAAGGTGATTTGCATACATAGTCCATACCTCAAAATCACCGGACAAAGAGGAAGACAAAGAAGTGATCCGGCTGAAGGGACCAAGGGAGCCCTCAGAGCGCACCCGCTGGTCACGGTAAAGAGCTCACTTCAGCAGCAGGGCCAGCCTCTGGGGGGATCTGCAAACCAAGACACGATTTCAAATGGTGAGGAGGAGGAAGAGAGAGAAAAGGAGGAAGGGGAAAGAGAGAGGGAGATCATTGTGAGAATTTAGCTTGTTAAATATGAAGAGTCTGTTTAATCAGGCACAGTGGCACACACCTTTAATCCCAACAAAGGCAGAGGGAGAGGAGGAGAGGAGGAGAGGAGGAGAGGAG